GTCCGTGATATATATATATATATATATATATATATATATATATATATATATATATATATATATATATATATATATATATAAATATATATATATACATACATATATATATATATATATATATATATATATATATATATATATATATATATATAATATATATATATATATATATATATATATATATATATTTATTATTTATAATTATATAATATATATATATATATATATATATATATATATATATATATATATATATATACTATATATATATATATATATATATATATATATATATATATATATATATATATATATATATACATATATATATATATATATATATATATATATATATATATATATATATATATATATACATATATATATATATAATACATATACATACATATATATATATATATATATATATATATATATATATATATATATATATATATATATATAATTATATATATATATATAATTATATTTATATATATATATATACATATATATATATATATATATATATATATATATATATATATAATAATTATATTTATATATATATATATACATATATATATATATATATATATATATATATATATATATATATATATATATATATATATAATATATATATATATACATATATATATATATATACATATATATATATATATATATATATATATATATATATATATATATATATATATATATATAATTATATTTATATATATATTATATATATATATATATATATATATATATATAACACATAAATGTTTTGAAGTCTATAAGCTTTAAGCTAATGCCAAACTTCTCACTTTATTAACAGATGTTTATCTCTCCCACGTTTTAACCCAATGTTCTTATTTTATTTCTTGCATGCTTATCATATGCCCAAAAATTAGAATAAAGTTGTTTAAAATTGTTGTTAAAGACCAATAGTTAATATAAAAGTCATGCCTTTTAGGTGTATTTAAAAAAGAGACTGCATCGTTAGTAAGCGCAGAATTTTAAACAAATTACAATATCAACAAAATTAAAGTAATTAAAGTTAAAACAAATATCAAAACATTGATAGCTTACTGTTTACGAATAGTGAAACACACTCTATGTTTATGGATATCCAAAAGAAATGATTCTCAAATGCAATCACGGACGTTCAGTATTGTGAAGTTTTGGGGTGGATGGCAGTTGGTGGGGTGAGGTAAAAGATAACTGTGTATTTAAATATATGCCTTGGGTTGCCAAACTCATGCGAGAGAAATTTTGTGTTTATAGAGCGACCACGTATCACATCGCCGGTCATGATCGCGGTCTCACAAGAGAAAGTTCGTGTCTATAATTAGGGAGAAAATGACGTGACAGCCAGCTACACATTATTTATGAGTTTCCCGACGGCATGATGGGACTGCAGCGAATGCCGGTACTTTAGAAGCGTGAGAAATCAGGACAACTTTACAATAAAGCGAACTCGGCCCGATGTATCAAAACAGTATAGACTTCAAAATTTGCTTAGAATCGGTACAATATTTTACAAAAAATCATTATGATCTTAACTATTGTAAAGGATATCCTACAATTTTTAAAAATGCGCGTTTAATAATGACTACCATATCACTGCCCTTCACCGATGCCCCCTCCTCCATAAAAGTTGTGCGACGCGGACAATTCGATGACTATATTAAGTCAGCACCATTGGAAACGATTGTATTTAAACCGTTGAATAAGTTTTGGTAAATTAATAATTCTTTTTGGGAAAGGATGAATCCTTAAGATAACACAACATAACAACACTTTTACTTTCTTCCAAAAAAAATATAATAAATCACTCTGTTGGATCACCCCACCCCCCGCCCCGTCGCCCTCCTCCCACATCCTATGCCCGCCACTGATTCTTAATTTTGTTATACCAAGACAAGTAGGCCTACCTATACAAAAACTACAACAAGAAAGTCAGGACCAGTGTTTATCGGGTCTACTACAGGCATCCCGTCTGTTCACTCCAAAACGTCTTCATCGGTCCGCATACAATAGGGTATCTCGTTACATGTTTTCCAAATTCTCCTTCCTGGTCAGATCGTACCCTGCACAGCGAGGTGTGTCATACGAATGTTTTTCTATATTTTACGACCTGTCCCAATTAAGGTGGGAGATAACTCACTAACATCAATCGTGGCCTTAGTTATAACAATCAACAACATCGGCATTCGGCCATGTAGTTTTTCCCAAGTGAATTCAGCAACAATTAATTAAGTTTACAAACTAATTCAGATAACAGTGACGGTGCTGAAGCGCGGGGCCCTCAAACCGCCCCGTTCGCCACCCCCCAAACGCCCGCTCTGATAACACACCTCTTTACTGGTAATTGCAAAAACAATATTTACAGAGTTTTACCTGGTTTAAAAGCTATGATTCTGTCGGCAATGGTACTTCGGTACCTCATACGCGTTGTTCCAAATGTACTTAACAGATCAGTTCGGGATGGGTTGAGGGGGGAGGGGATTTCAACTTCATTCACCACTGTCCAGCCACTTTAGTTGAATTATCCTACCCAGCGTATACCTAGGTGTGACATTAATGTCACACTACACAATTGTGATGGTGAGGTGGGGTGGAGGGATAACCAACTCAGAGTGAATACAGCGTCAGTTTTTAGATGACTGTTCTAAACATACATATACAATTCTACATATATACTGATTCAGAAATAGATTTAAATAAGTAACAGTGGTATGATGAAAGTAAACATTTTATACAGATGGGTCCATGGGGGGGAGGGGGTTGTAGCCCCCGAAAGCCCCCCCGCCCCACTATGCCACTGCTAGGGTAGACCGGGATACAATTAAACATTGAGAAGATAAATGTCTAAGATTATTGGAAGGACAATCTTTCAAGCACTTGGGCGCCAATTTATCTGTCAAAGTAACTAAGCAAAAAGTCTCCGCAAGCATTGCCAAAACGAGCGTTAGAATAAAAAAAACTTCTCTCCGCACAAAAGTCACATCCATGCGGTAGCAAGTCCTACTACTACTATCCCGTACTATTGTATGCGCATTATCATGTTCATTTGGTGCGCAATACTTTTTAGTCATGTTAGTCATGCAACTCTATTGTAAATTTCTAAAAATTAAAGTACTGAAAAATAATGCATAATTTTGTTTCATAAAAAACGTTTTAATAACAAGCTTTTATGTAATAGTAATAATGCACTAAAACGGAGAAAATAAATTATACACTATTATTTAAATAACTATAAAGTAAAGTGTGGGTCACTTTAGAATCTACTAGCCGTCCCCCAGGCCCTGCTCTGGCTTCTGTGAAAAACCTTTCTGTTAAAATATATTACCTGTGTGTTTAGTAATCATCATAAACCCGGCATTGCCCACCCAAACCACAACTAACCAAAACCAAAACAACAAAACGCAAACATAACACTAACACAATTACAAATACAAACGAAAACAAAAACCTAACAACAAACCCAACCCCAACCACAAACACCAATACGAACAAAAAGAAATAAACAAACGAAAAGCAAACGAAAACAAACCAAATCCAAACGCAAAACCAACCACAAACACAAACCCAAAGAAAAAACACAAACGAAAAAGCAAACGAAAACAAACCGAGTCCAAAGGCAAAACCAACCACAAACACAAATACAAACACAACCACAAAGAAAAAAACGAAAACGAAAAAAGAAAGAACAAAAACGAACCAAATCAAAACGCAACCACTAACGCAAACCCAACCTAAACACAAAGAAAACACAAACGCGAACATAAACGCAAAGTGCTCACAGTCTAGCCCGGGGCAGAATCGCCTGTTTCAACTTAATAAACGACTATAGTACCCCAACTTATTCATAGTCTTTTGCACTCACTTAAACGAACGTAGGTGCCAAACCAAACCAAATGAACAATTATCCGTAAAATACCTACAACATTTGCACTTGATCAATCCCCGCTAATTATGTAATTATTTTTTTCCCAACACCAAAACAAAGTAATAAAAAGTAAATTCTTTTCCACTAATGCAATGTTTTATAAAGGGAAGTAATTGTGTTTTCCTAATTTATCAAAGGGAAGTAAGTGCTAAAGGACTAAATATAAATAATTTTCAGACATAATTAGAATTTTTGTAAAAGATAGGTTTTTTATTTTTAAAATTGTGTTTAATAATCATGCCGACAATTATTATTAAAAGTTTGAAAAATGAAATTTATTTCCTAACACTTTCAGTATTAATTTTTTTAACTCATAAATTTAGACTGTGAGCACTATAATAATCTAACACTTAAATCTATCTAAGTATCCACGACAAACTTATTTTTAAATACTGAATTGAGCTTTAGGAAGAGACCCACGCCTTTTTTTTATAGTTATTTAAATAGTAGTGTATAACTTATTTTCTCCTTTTTAGTGCATTATTACATGAAAGCTTGTTATTAAAACGTATTTTATGAAAAAATTTTTTTAGTACTTTACATGTTTTTATTTACAATAAAGTTACATGACTAAAAACCAATGCGCACCTATTGAACTTGATGACGCCCTATTGAACCCGATGACGCGTGTGGAGTAGTTGGATAAGACAGCCTACTAATTTGGTCAAATTTTAATTAATTCATAAAAAATCAATTAGGCATCAAATCAAGTCAAATTTAATGTCATGTTGCATTGTCTTCATGTCTTGACCCACGTGCCAATTTTGAAACAAATCTGTCAGTTAGAAGTGCCTGCAATTTCGATTTAGACAGACGATGACAGACTGACGAGGAAGTGGGTTAAAAAAAGCGTGTAAAACATTTTAATAACAAGATTGTATGTAATAATGCACGCTTTTCTTTATAGTTATATAAATAGTAGTGTATTATTATATACTTACAGAAAATAGTTTGTTTTCTCCTTTTTAGGTTTTAAAAGTTTTTTATTAAACTTTTTTTAATGCAATTTTTAAATTGAATAAGATAATTTTCCTCCCAGAATTGCAAGGTGATCGCTTTTTGTGGATCAAAGGATCGATGTGACTGGGTCCGTGAGCTGGGTTTTGACTACGTTTTTAATTATAACACAGTTCGTGTTGGGCCAGCATTGAAACGAGTTACATCCCAAGGGATTGATTGTTATTTCGACTGTGTAAGTTGAGCTTGTATTGTAATTGTTATATAACATTTGGTATCAATTCATACATCTAAAATAGACAAAAATTTAATGTAAACCCTGATGGGAGAGGGTGCCCTAATCTAATCGCTAGGCTTAAAATAAACTGTTGGGGCGTCTGGTTAAAACCCACACTGGTTAAAACTTAACCTTAGTCTAAAGTAAAACAAAAAGATGACTTAACTAAACATAGACTTTAATTTTTTTTAAATGACGAAACGGCAATATTAAACATAAAAAATAAATGCACTACAATCTATTTAGTCATATAAAACACCCTATCAGAAATAGCTGTCTGGATATAAAGAAACAGATAAGTGAACACTATACAAGCAGCAAAATCTGGACATTGTATCAAACACCAAATAAAATACTGACCTTGCGTCATACACAACCAAATATCGATACAATATCTAACATAACTACATATTTCCAATGTATCAACCACAACACTATGTAAAACATAAATCAAACATGGAAGTGTTAAAAATACTGAGCACTAATGTCAAATTACTATTTAAAATCTAGAATGATAATTTCTGTTACGCTGCAGTGTGAGGTTTGAATTACCTGATTCGATACCATTTCATTAAGTTTACTACCATGTACAGAGGTTACAACCTTAAGAAACCATAAGGCTATTTCACATTCAGACGAATAGATGACGCTTATAAATAAGACGAACTAAATAACTCCTTCTATTCTTTATTCTTGTATCTACATACATATCTCTAGAATCTGTCTCCCAACTCGAGTCATACCGGCCAGCACGCGTCCTTTCACACCGACGATCAAGATTAGACTAACTCACACACAAAGTCATAGCAACCAAGTTTCTACACCAGAGGCGTATCCAGGTTTTCGGTGTAGGGAGAGCGAAAATAGCAAAAAAAGGCGCCGAATTTGTAATATCTTCTATATAAGTATATATATATATATATATATATATATATATATATATATATATATATATATATATATATATATATATATATATATATATATATATTAGCTGTATGTTATTGCTTCGCTATGATGTAAAATAAATTTTAATTAGCACTCTGAAGAAATTAAAAAAAAACACACAATGTAGGCCGACAAACAAAAAATTTATCACTCTAAAAAAACAATATATATATGTATATATATATATATATATATATATATATATATATATATATATATATATATATATATATATATATACTACAACAACCAAAGACAATGAACAAAGCAAAATCTGTTACGTAATCCTTGTAAAAAAAAATTATATAATAATTCCTCGGACATTTGTTTTAACAAGCGAAAAGGGGAAATAATCAATATCTTAATATAAATAAGTGGCGCTGGGTGGGGGGGTCACACACTGCGAAAGGCTCACACAAATGTTACACGCCAAGCGCTTGAGTGGAACCCCCAGGGAAAGCGGAAGAGAGGGCGCCCAAGACAGACCTAGAGGCGGAGTCTTCTTGAAGAACTGAAGCCAACAGGGATATCTTGGGAGATGTCAAAATTAATAGCCGAGGATAGGAAGAAATGGAAGGAAATGGTGGAGGCCCTATGCTCCATAAGGAGCAAAGAGGACTAAGTCAAGTAATATAAATATGTATGTGTCTACACATTTTATTATAAATATCAAAGCATTATTATATTATAAATATCAAAACAAATCAATAATTACTTAAGAATCTAATAAAGTAGCTTAACACTATTCGTTTTTACAAAAATATTCTGTCTACAATCAGAATTAAATAGATAGTCATCATAAATGCTAAAGCATTACATCATATTGAAAGTTTTTTAAAATCAGAGTTGGTATAAAAGCCAGCTTTTCAATGTAAAAGTAAAATATTTGGAATAATAGCCTACATATAACTAAAATAACGTTCTTACATTTCAGATCATGCACTTTTTAATTAGCTACTGACTTTTTGTGTTCTTTAAAGATAATTTTTTAACTTAATGAGAAGGTATGGGTTAGATCACTGTATTGCTCACACACCTTTTACTGATAATTGCAAAAACAATATTCAGATAGATTTACAATTCAAAAGCTTTGATTCTGGCGGCATGGTACTTTGGTACATAATTACGCGTTATCCCAAATGTACTTAACAGATCATTTCAGGGTGGGTTGGGGGGGGGGAGGGGTTCAACTTCATTCACCACTGTCCGGTCACTTTAGGTCAATTATCCAACCCAGCGTATACCTAGGTGTGACATTAATGTCGCTCTACACAATTGTGGTGGTGATGTGGGTGTGGATAACCAACTCAGAGTGAACATAGCTTCAGTTTTTAGATGACTGTTCTAAACATCTATATTCAATTACGCATGTATACTGATTCAAAAATAGATTTAAATAAGTAGCGGATAATTACCTGTGCGATCAGTGTTAGTTTAAATTGAGTTGTTGTTTTTTTAATACAAAATATAGCATTATTCAAATATAATATAGATCTAGATCTAGTAAACTAAAATAATAATTAATAGAAAGTTGATACTGTTTCGTATAATATGTAATCGTAATCAAACTGTCATGATACTACTACTTCATCGTGATGACGTTGTTGACCTTGTCAAAATTTCCCCACCGCTTCGCAGTTGTAATTTAAAAAATATACGATGTAATTATGTTTGAAGTTTTATATGTAACATTTTCTAATTCAATTATTCGTAAGCAAATACATTATACAGTTGCCTTAAACTTAACACCCATCTTGCCAAGTGGTATTACCCGTAGAGGTTTTTTAAACATTGCAATCCATAGCAACGGTTATTTTTAGAATGACAAACTGATACTGCTGCTAATACGTTACTGCTGCTAATACGTGTTGTAAACGTTGACTCTACTAGTCTATTACTGTTATAATTAATTGCTGCATGAAATAAATCTTGTGATTTGCATAGATGTGCCGACCAAAGATTATTTTTTTTTAAAGTTTTTAGTAGTTTGGAGACCCCGGGTCCTATCATCTAGAATGCGGAGAGCTTTATTTCCACGGAAAATTTAATGTTGTTTGGAGGTGGCTGGGAAAATATGCCAAGAAAGTTCAAAACAATTTTAAAATGTAGCTTTGGGTGCACATACCTTTGCCTGCCGTGTTGCATGCGTTGGCGAAGATGGTGAATTTAATAAGGTCTCGTGGGCTCTAGGACAAGTTGAAAGATACAAAAAAAAAAGAATCGCAAGATTTACAATATTACACAGTAGAAAGATGGTTAATTTGTGGGAAAGTTCTGAGCAGAGTATTTAAGTTAAGAAAGTAAAATAAACCGGGAGTGATCTCCCCTAAACTTTCTCGAATATTCTTATATAACTTGGAATATAGACATGATTTTTAATTACTTAAACTTTTAAAAATACAATCACAAGATTTTTTTTCCATGCAGCAATTAAGCATTATTGTACTAGACTAGTAATGTCTACGTTTACAACACGTATTAATAGCTGCATCAGTTTGCGATTCTAAAAATAACCATTGCAATGCATTGCAATGTTTAAAAAACCTCCTCGGGTAGTACCACTTGGCAAGAGGGGTGTTAAGTTTAAGGCAACTGTATAATGTATTTGCTTACGAATAATTAAATTAGAAAATGTTATACATAAAACTTCACACATAATTACCTTATTTATACAGTTTGAATCGTGTGATTAATTTTTGAAAAATTACAATACAGAAACAAATACAACTGATGTGGCACCTCTATTTAAATTTACTTATGAGCAAACTGCGTAGTGATGGGGACATTTTGACAGGGTCAACAACGTCATCACGATGAAGTAGTAGTATTCTTACAGTTTGGGCGATAGTGATTACGATTACAAATTATATGAAACAGTTACAACCCCCCTCCTCCATGGACCCTCTGTAAAAAAATATTGTCATAATACCACTGCTACTTATTTAAATCTATTTCTGTAATATATATTTGTGTAATATATATTTGTGTAATATATATATATATATATATATATATATATATATATATATATATATATATATATATATATATATATATATATATATATATATATATATATATATATATGTTTAGAACAGTCATCTAAAAACTGACGCTTTATTCACTCTGAGTTGGTTATCTCCCCCCCCCCCACAATTGTGTAGAGCGACACTAATGTCACAGCAAGGTATACACTGGGTTGGATTAGTGAGCTAAAGTGACCGGACAGTGGTGAATGAAGTTCAAACCACCCCCCCCCCCTTACCCACCCCGAATTGATCTGTTAAGTACATGTAGAAAAACGCGTAATGATGTACCAAAGTACCATGCCGCCAGAAATTAGCTTTTTAAACGTAAAACTCTGTGAACATTGTTTTGCAATTACCAGTAAAAAGGTGTGTGATAAATGCAGTGATCTAACCCCATACCTATCACTATGTTAAAAAAATTATCTTTAAAGAACACAGAGAAGCAGTAGTTAATTAAAAATATATAATCTGAACTAAAAGACCGTTATTTAGTTAAATGTAGGATGTTATTCCGAATGTTTTTTTATTTTATTGAAAAGCGTGGTTTTAATACCAACTCTGATTTTAAAAACGTTCATTATGCTGTAATACTTTAGCATTTATGATGACGATATATTAAATTCTGATTATAGACAAAAACATTTTGTAAACACGAATAGTGTTAAACAATTTCATTATATTCTAAAGTAATTATTTATTTGTTTTGACATTTATAATTAAATGTGTAGATATATACATATTTATATTAAGAGAGTGATTATTCCCCTATTTCACTTGTCTTAATAATTTCCCAGGAATTATTATGTAAGAAATTTTTTACAAGAATTACAAAATAGATTGTGTTACGTTCAATGTTTTTTGGTTGTAGTGTGTGTATATTTTTTGTTTGTTTAGATTGGTACAATTATTGTTTTGTCCGGCCTACAATGTGTGTTTTTCTTATTTCTTCAGAGTGCTACTTTCAAATTTATTTTACATCAT